GCTTTGAAATAGAGCAGCATGCCCAGCATATTCCTATTGAGTTCAGTATCGCCTTAGGGACCTGATTCTAGCCAGATGACAAAGTTAGATGAGAGATTAGCTGAGTGGGCTATGGTTTACTTTCAAGGCCATCTGTGTTCACGGCTAGTCCTTCACAACAGTACACACAGGACCTGAGGCACAGAGCAATTAGTTCTTCCAGCAAGACCTTCCCATCATGCCCTCAGTCATCACAAGAAGCCTGAGACTCCCAAGCTGCCGTGATCTGGGTTCTTGCCCCCACAGGGTCTGAGTACATCCCCTAACCTGACCTCGCACCTCCCACCCTCCCCAACTCAAGAAAGCCTTCCACCGTGCCCTTTAAGAACTCATGGCATAGCATCAACAAATCCCCTATATTCTCAACTTCCTCTTTGAAAGCTTTTTTCCTGTTGCCTTAATTCAGTGCATTGCAATCCTGGCTGCACTTCAGAATCACCTGGGGAGCTTCTTAAAACTCCCAATGCCCAGGCTTCACCTCACACCAAAACCACTGGGGGTGGGACCCAGGCCTCAGTAGGTTTAAAGCTCCCCCAGATGATTCTAGTATGCACAAGGGTGAGCACCGTTGGGCTAAGTGACACCCTGTGCTATCCCCTCAGCGGCTGTTCCCCAGAAAGAACTCTCTTGTCAGGAGGCCCTTCCTCTCCCACAGCTCTGGCACCACTGGGACTCAAGTGAGCAGGCCACTTGCTCTTCACTGCCACCTCTGAACACTAAATTTCTCTCCCCTAAAATCTTCTAGCTTTCCAAATTTCTGGCAGTTTCTTGAACACACAGGGACTTCTGCATGCCTATTTCTTTGCATTTGCTTCTTCTCTACAGTAAAGCTCTGAACCCCTCAGCCATCTAAAAGAAAAGTTCTCTTGTTTCTTTAAAACTCATTTCATGGGTCACCTCAGCCCTTGCATGAAGCCCTCTCGGTCTCTCTAAGCTTAAAAGTATTGATAAAATACTTCCTCCATGGTGCATTCACCCCACAGCGCTATTTCAGTACTCATTACACTGCTAGTGAGGAGCACTCGCCACTATAAGGTGAGAAATTTGAGGTATAAATAGGAAAATTCTGAGCGTATTAGTCTACAGGGAGCCCCAATTCATCAAATCTGGTGCTAATATAAACCTGAAAAGATTATCCTTTGTACCAAAAAATCTTTTCTTTATGGAGGATAATTATACTGAAGCTATGGCTCCATCACAATTGCCATAAGAAAGTTGGCATGAGATCAACACTATTAAAGGGATTTAGCTATTGAGGTACCAAATTCAGTAGGCTCTTAGCAGACAATTGACCTACAGGACAAGCACCAACTCTGTAGATGGCACTTTACTCCATTTATATGCACACAAACAGTGAGCTATTAAGTTGAACTCTCAGTTTAACATTGCTCCATATGAAACAGTTAACTCTAATTGCTTTTTAGTCATTTATGCTATGAACCAGTCTTCTTTTAAAAAATGTGTCACCTCTTCTGAGCTGAGCCAAAATATCATGGCCTGGTCTCTAGCCTGTCCATCCACAGGAAAACATGGGACACAAACCATTTGATTCTTTATATATTCACTTGGTCCTTCTTGATCTCACCTATAGTACGAAAAATAAAAAGATCTGTTTCTTTGAATTTATTCCTTTTCCTAACTCCAGGGCCCTATTTGTATAACTTAATCCAGATGTTCATATCACAGCAGCACTTGGTATAAGTAGGGGCCAGCTAAACTGCATTTTATGCTGAAAACCTATACCTCATCTCTCTCACTTGATAAAAGTAGAGATATACTTTTGGTGTATGTAAAAATGATCTATATACACCTTTATGCATATATCTGCAAATGTACAAACTCTTTTCTCTTACATACTTAAAACCTGGAAGTACATCACTGATTGGCCACAAAGTTTTTCAAATAGTGTTCCTTTTTAGGGAACAAAACATTTTCTTGTTAATTACAATCTAGTCTTGCCCATTTATCAAGTTAAATAATATGAAAATTTAAAATCCAAAAATAATCCAAAATTTTTTTATCTTAATCTCTTCTCAGAGCTACTAATAAACGTGATTTTAATTATACCAGGCTTCCTGGTTTCTCCCCTAGGTACTACAGTTTAAGTCCCATAAAAGAAGTCTCTGCAGTTAAGTATATATACTTTTTTTTCCCAAAGTCAGGTTGATTGTCCATATATATTACAAGGAACATTCGAAGAAAATTTTAACAGAGCAAAAGAAGAATTCAGAATGTTTAAGCTCTCTGTAATAAAACTTGCTGTGAAGTGGTAAAAATGACCTCATGGCAGAACAAGCAAGAAGGAATCAAAAAGCAAGGAAGAAAACATAACAAACTGAATACATGACAATTTGAAATCCCAAGCTAATGTGCAGTAAACTTTTTTTCACATTTTCAACTCTTCTAGGGAAAACTACTGGCATAAAACATAAAAATTTAACTTTAATCACATAACATAGAGATGAGGTAACAGATGAGAGGTTTAGAAATGTTCTTATGAATACCTTAAGGATGGTGTATAATAATGTTTCTTAACCACTAAGCCCTCAGGATATTAATCGGTATTTTATAAATAAAGAGATGAATGGTCACACAAGCTAGGAAATTGCCTTTAACAAAATTGCCCAGGTTTCTTTACTGTAGGACTTCAAAGCCTTTAATGGGCTCATATGCACTGTGAATCTCCCAGAGCGGGTACAGAGGCAGCAGCCTGCAAATTTGTCTTACCACAGAGCCCTATTAACATCTCCCAGAAGACTGTTCTATCACAAGTAGTTTGGGAAAGACTAGAATACATAGGTGCCCCATACAGGTGGTTAGGTGAGTTTCTCCTGGGGCCAATATTAGGAATTTGTCACTTTACAAAGACTAAACACGATCATGTGTTTATTACCCGGAACTTCCTCTGTTGAATATGTGTGTCGCACCTACAGTGAATGAAAGGGGAAGAGTCAGGGGAGAGAAGTGGTGTAGGGATTTTCTGCCTGCATTTCTTACACACCTGTGTCTGTAGTCTGAACTCTCCATAGTTAGGCATCTGAGTTGGAGGCTTGGGCTGAGCGCTGGGCTCACTGTTTACATTGTGATGGGGAATCTGGCAGACAAAGCAGCAGTCTCGTTCATTAACAGTGACTTGAGAATTCCGAGCCCCTGGTCAGATCCTTAGTCACTAAGCCCCAAAGCAGGCAGGAAGCCCACCTCAAGCAGCTCAGATGAGGATTGCTGATAGCAGCAACACAGTTCACAACCAGGAAGTAACTACTGTCACTTGCGCAGCAGGAGAAAGATAAGGAGGCTTGTCACAAAAGCCCTTTCAGACAGGTCTTCTGCACATTCATGCAGGTGGTTCCCAAGCCCCAGTTTGACACCAGCAGCTGGTAGATAAGTGACTCCAGAATGCCCGCTAATTTTGCTGTGACACAGTCCAGGTTTGCTGTCGGTGCAAATCAAGAGCCTCATCTCATCTAGGTCCTCCTTTGGGAGATGTGGTGAAAGCCTCAACTGCCAGTGCAATGGATCACTGTCTTCCTGTGACCCTTTGATGGGTCACAGACATAGACACTTTGACTCCAATGATGGGGAGGGGAGCGACCTTTAGGAGATGGATCTCGGTTTGGGAGCTGGCTCTACTATTACTAGCTATGTCACCTTACGTGACTTGCTTAACCCCTGTATGTTTCAATTTCCTCATCTGAAAAAAAAAAAGGATAATATCAGTACCTACTCCATAGGGCTTTTGTGAAGATTAAATAATGCACTGAAAGAACTTAGCACAATGCTTGGTCTATTGTAGACGCTCAATAAACAGAGCTAATAATTTAAATGAGGAGAAATTATAACAAGGGAAAGGCTTATGATGGAACTAAAGCTTGGCGTTAGATACAAAGCAGGGACTCAATAAATACTTGATTCATGAACCAACATCTCTTAAAGCCAATGCTGGAGTACTGGAAAAGGGCTTCTCACTTGTTTATAAGTGGGTCAGGAAGAACAGGACTTTTTATTATCCTTCAAACTGAAGCAGGAAGCCAATACCTCATGGTATTTGCATCTCAAGGTTGAGTGGATGCTAAAGACCATCTAATTCTCTAAAAGAAGGACAAGCAAATGTTAAAAGGGGTTTCAGTGACCCAGAGAGTTCTGAGATGCACCACATGGAAAAGTATGCTCTGAACTACCCAGAGCAATGAGGTAGAAACTGGGACTGCTTACAGAGAAATTTCCCAACACTTTCTGCCAAAAGTCAGAGAGGATCTTGAAGGAAAGAAAGTTTCTTCAGCAGCAATTAATAAAAGGAAGGATCTGTAGCACCCTTTACCACACTCCACAAATTTGCTGCTTGCTTCTCATTTTCAACTCTGCTAAGAGTGTTGATGAATAAGGCCATAGTAGCACATGTAAATAAGGCAGAATTAATTCACAGGTGAAACAGATTTCGGTGACACACTCTCCCAACTCCTGCTGCTTCAGCTTATTGTTCCAAGGGAAAATAACATCCCCAAGAAAGCACACTGGGCCCAAACCACAGCACTAACTCCATGCTGATGACCATTTATTTTTAGTTTGTGCAGAATTCACACAGCTCCTAAAACACTGATAAAAATATAGGCACCCAGAATGCACATACTACACAGAAAAACCATGTCCTCCACCCCCAATTGGAGAGACGCCCCTTCTTCTACGCCTTTCTCTGTATGAAAACCACATGCAACCCTCTACAGCCATGAGTGCACAAGTACACATTTGTTTGCTTGTTGATTGAGGAAAGTTTCCCTTTTCCACATGAAGTTAGGGGGCTGGTGGATAAGAATAAATTCAACCACTCTCTGCTCTTCGTCCAGATGTCATCTCAGGAACCTAACCAGCCAGTTCTGTGGCGATCAAGCTGGGCAAAGGAAGCACAGTGGTAGGACAACCCTCTACTACCAAACAGTTTACAGAAATCAACATCTGTCTCCTACCTGTGATGGGCAAGGTCTCGGAGGGAGCGCAGGTGGTGGAGGTAACAATCCTGATTTAGTGGCTGAAAAAAACAACACATACTGTTAAGGACCACCAAAAACAAACCAAAACAAAACACCCTTCCACTTGTTAACTGCGAACAGCAAGGGCATTTAACATGTTTAAATTTTTTAAATCCATCTGAAGCCTTTATAAAAAAAAATACATGCTATTTCTAATCTCTTTTTCACTTTCATCGTACCCAAAAGTCAAGTATTTATATAGGCTGTTGTGATTTAGACAGTGTAAAACATTAAGCAAAAGATATCCTTGGATCAAAAAACTGGAACCCAGCATGTGAAAGGCAGTCAATCCCTCATCATTCTGATGTTAATTATTTGGTTTTGAATAATCTAGGCCCTTTGGCTTCTCTCTTATTTCTCCCTAGTTCTGGCCACTACACTGCTCATTAGCTCAGCGGGTAGGCTGCAGAAACTAAGGGAGCCAAAATCCCAACTATGCTGCTCTGCTGCCCTGTAAGGTAGCGGGTCTGATAGCAGCAGGAGAGGTGAAAGTGATGGACTAAAATTATATTTAGGGATTCTTCAAAAATCTGAATTTCCTTTTCTCTCTCTGATCCTTATTATCATGGATAAATAAATCTGCTTTCAAAATAATCTGGCCCCATTTAAAGGATCTTTTGAAACAAAGTTTCAGTCTAATTTGTTTTAAATTTTGTGAGATACAGAGAAAATCTGAGTTAAGCCAAGAACATCTGAATTGTACCTTGACAATGCAAATAAACGTCTGCCAGTGAATTATAAATAAAGCTCATAATCACACACAAGAAATAAGTTTATTATCACACACTGGCAAGTTAACCCACATTCCTTACAAACTCCTTAGAAAAGCACACTGTGCTCTATATCACTGTACGTACTTTATTTGCAAAACTGTAATATGCGTGCTAATATTTGGACAATTTTCTGTGCCTTAAAAATAAATCATAGCAATGTGCCAAAAACATAAAAGTTTTTGCAAATCACTTTTGATTTGACCTAGCTAGATCAGACAAGCCAGAAGATGGAGTTCGGGGCTTTCCACAAAGCTAACTCAGTAATTTCACAGAGATTTTCATTCTGAGCCAGTGCATGGATACAGTACAACCATGTGAGCCCATCAACGATTCCTCTCAATCTGTCTTTCATTAAAATTTATGAAACACATCAGTGGGTCAAAACTACAGAGGTGGTGAGACCTTGAACAGCCTTCAATAACAAAGCACGTAGCAGCAGAGAACAACAAAAGCCTCAGAAATTATCCATCTCAGAGCCCCTATTCCACAGGTCCTCACGGACTGGGCCTTTACATTACCAGGTACTTTAAAAACAAAGTGAAAAAACAAACAAAAATCTATACATGCTTTTAAGGGAAAGGCCTGGCACCAGAATAAAGTGCTTGTTAAAATAACCCTTTATTAACAAAAGAGGACTAAGAAATGATAAGCCATTTAATTAAACTGACTTCTGCTTCCAGCCAAAACGGAGTAATAGATATACCCTCCCATTTGAAACAGCCAAAAACAAACATGCTTTTTATATGAAACAACAGTTTAAGACACTAGAACAAAACATATAAAACAACAGTTTTCAAGACACTAGGAAATCAGACAACAAAAGACAGTGATCCCTGAGAGACAGAAAACAAGGTGAGCTGTGTGACTGACTGTCCCTGCTTACTGCCCTGAGAGTTACTAGAAATAGGACCTACATCCTGATTCATGTCTGATTAATTTCATTTTCACTATTATTTAATTTTTTAATGCCTTATTTTTGTAAAAGATGATGTGAGGGTCTGTTTCTGAACATACTTTTGGATAAAATTATATCACCTAGGAATATTAACAGCAGTTTTGTTTCCTCTTTTCAGGACCTTTATTTATTTTTCGGTTTTGATCTTACTTACCCGGCTAGAACATCTACTTTAAAGTTGAATTATAATGGTGATACGGGCATTCTTGTCTTCTCTTGATCTCAAAGGTAATAAGGCTTTCATTATTTCACCATTAAGCATGGTATTTGCTATATGTTTGTTGTAGATACCCTTTAACAGATTATAAAAATTCCCATCTATTTTTTTGAGATTTTTTAATGATAATTTGTTGTTGAATTTTAACCAAAACTGCATCTCCATCTGTTGAGATGATGGTATGATTTTCTTCCTTATAATTTGTTAATACGATAAATTATATTATGAATTTTTTAATATTAAAACACCCTTGCAGACCTAGGATAATCTCAACTTAGGTTTTTATATCTGCTAGATTTAGTTGGCTAATATTTTGTTTAGAATTTTTGCAACTATATTGATGAGTGAGACTGAGTTTCCTTTCTCATATGGTCCTCTGTTACGGCTGATTTGGCTGGAGAGTGTTCCCCCGTCTATACTCTGAAATAGGTTGTATAAGATAGGAAATGTTTGTTGTTGTTGTTGTTGAACGTCAGGTAAAACTTGACAGCAGAACCATCTGGGCCTAGAGTTTGCTTTGAAACAAGATTTTTAATGATTTCTCTTCTTTAATTGTTTTAGATTATTCAGACTTTCGAATTCTTAAGTCAGTTTTGCTAAATGATATTTTTCTAGACATTTATTCATTTTGTCTAAATTTTCACATTTATTGCCATAAAGGTGCATAGCCCCCTCTTATCATCTTAATCTCTGCATATGTAATTTTCCATTTCTAATACTGTTTGTCATCTCTCTAGTTTTCCTTCATTAATCTCACCTGATATTTGTCAGTTTTATTACTCTTTTCAAAAAACCAACTTTTAACTTTTTTGAGCCTCTGTATTACAAGCTTGCTTTCTATTTCATTAATGTCTGCTCATCTCCTTCCATTTACTTTCTTTGGGCTTATCCTATTGTTCTTGGTTGCTTAGCTCACTAATTTCCAGCTTTTCTTCTTTTCTAATGTAAGCATTTAGAGTTATAAATTTTCTTCCAGGTATCTCTTTAACAGAATCTCATAGGTTTTGATATGTGATATCATTTAGTTTTAGAATTTTCCTAATTTCCATTATAATTTCTTTTATGATATTACCTTATATCTGAAGTTCATCCTTTAGAATTTCCTTTATTGAGAGCCTATTAGTAGCACGTTTAGTCAGTTTATTTGACTGAAAAGTCTTCATTTTGCCCTCATTCTTGAAAGATGATTTCATTGGGAATAGAATTCTAGATTGAAGCTATTTTCTCCTAGCACATTGAAAATAACATTTCACTGTCTTCTGGCTTCCATTATTGCTGTTGAGAAGTCAGATGTCAATACAATCATCGTTTTTTGTAGGTAGTCTGTCTTCTCTCTGGTTGCTTTTAAGATCTTCTCTTTGTTTTTGGTACTCTGCAGTACCAAACTTTACCCTGTGTCTACATGAGTATTTCTTATTTTTTCTTTTGTGAGGAAGATTAGCCCTGAGCTAACATCTGTTGCCAATCCTCTTTTTGCTGAGGAAGATTGGCCCTGGCCTAACATTCATGCCCATCTTTCTCTACTTTATACGGGACACTGCCACAGCATGGCTTGACAACCGGTGCGTCGGTCTGCACCCAGGATCTGAACCTGCGAACCCCAGGCCGCCAAAGCAGGGCGCGTGAACTTAATTGCTACACCACTGGGTCGGCCCCTCATGTGTATTTCTTCATCCTCTTTTTCTTTCATAATCTGCTGGGCTTCACTGGAATTTCTGAACTATGTGGCATCCCATTAACTTTGGGAAATTCTCAGTGATTCTTCAAATATTATCTTTCCACCATTTCCTCTCATCTCTGCTTCTGGATCTCTTTGTCTAACCATGCTATGTTCTAGATAATTTTCTAAGATCTGTTGTCCAATTAAGCAATTCCCTCTTCGACTGTACTTAATGTCTTGTTAATCCAGTCTTGAGTTTATTTCAATTACTAAATTTTTCATTTCCAGAAATTCTATTTGGTCTTTCTTCAAAATGGCTTTTCCATTTTTATAATTTATTGACTACTTTTCATTTTCTTCATCTCCTTTCTTTCAATGTATTAAACATACTTATGTAACAGTCTGTGTGGGATAATTCCAAAATCTGAGGGCTTTGCATTTCCTATGATTTCGTTGCTTCTGCTGGCTCTCCCTCATTGTGTTCCATTTCCTAGAGTGATTGGCAACCTTTGACTCTGAATGCATATTCCTTGGGATTTTTACCTGTAGGAATACTTTGGGGCCTGAGTGGAAAGCGAATTCTTCTTCTATTACTTCTGGCAGAAACCTGAGGGCACTATCAACCTGGGACCACTTTAAACTAAAAATCTTGGCTTGATATTGTGTAGGATTCCTAGTTTCTACTGTCCTGAGATTTTGTTACCTGTCCTATAGTAAAACTTTTGAGTATAGATAGTAGTTTTAACATTTATAACTAATCTCATTCTTACCTCATTAACACAACAGGGAAGAGAACCACTATTTTAAATTGATTAAATTTGGAACTGGGAAAATAGATGAGTGACTGATAGCTGAATTAGCAGTAGAGAAAGCAGAGAGTAACCAATTTGTACCACAGAAGCCTCCCAATTCTCAAGAATTGGTGACATCAAACTCATCTGGAAGTAGGGGTAAAATGAGGAAAGTAATATAAAGTAAAGAAAACAAGTAATAGAAAGTAAAGAAAATTAACTAATAGTGGAACCTATTTCCTACCCTACAGGAGAAGGGCATACATTGGTAAGACCCCTAAAGATCTGATTCCAGCTACACCTCATACTGTTTTTGGCTTCAGGATCCCTCCTCCTGTAGTCGCCTCTGCCTGTAGTGGCCACGCCCTACCCCTACTTCACCTGGATAACTCAGAATATAGTAAGTGACCAATAAGTATTTGTTTGAACTAACACAAGAAAGAACTACAGGATTATGCTCCATCCCCATATTTAAAAAAAATAAAACAAGACTGATTGAAGCAGTTTAAGAGCAGTTAGGTCCTGAGGTTTTTCTCCCACACTCTGCACAGTTGCAGTATGTTTCCCACTTCAGTAAAAGGCTAGAAAGATTTTTCTTCTCCA